TCAGTTTGTGCTACGTTTCGTCAACGCGTCCTTGACTGACTGCTGATGCAGTAGGAGTATAACATTGCCTTGTCTGTCGCCTTATGCGAAGGCATTCGTACAAATGTTGATCAACATGGGCAGAACAACGCCATAGTTGAAACCTATATTGCGGACTGTGTTAGTGAAAAAATCAGCTGTGAAAGCTCATCACGTTGCTAAAACTTGGAATCAGCAAAACTGTTTACCTAGTTTCGTTCGTGACTTTAGTTTTTAACTGTTACACCTTTGAATTATCCCTATCAACGGGTTCATATTTTTTCATGTTTTGTTGTATTTTGCTTGCTTGATATTAATTGTACACTGAAAATAGAACAGTGTTAAAGGTTCATTAAGCTCCTTAACAGTAACTGCTGTGACTGAGCTCTTAACCATGTCATTAGCTATTGTTCTTCGGCTATACTGGTATCCTGTCACACACCTAGTCATGTGTTTCAGCGTTCACTTAGCGATGTTCCTCTCAACGAAGGGCGGATGGTCATCATTATCAGTTTGATGGTTAAGGAGCATGGCGAAAAATTTAACAGAGTTTACCTTTTGTTGTGTGATGAAAGAAAGTAACTATAATTCTGTCAATAATGATAAGAAAGTATGGTTTTCGCGTAGACATGGAATCTGAGAAAATTAAGTGCTGAAATTTAATCAGGAATGCATAGAAAAGAAGAAACCCAGTAAAAGCAAGTTAATTGGAAATTTTAATTACTTGTTTGCGCAGAAGTCAGAAATTAAAAATGCCACTTCACAGGTCATCAGCTGCCTCAGAAATCTTGACATTACCATCCAATGGTGTGCTTGTCTTTTTACTCATGCGATAGAAGAAAGTAAAATGAACGTTTCAAGTACTTAGATAATACCTGAATATTCGTACAGTATCTAGTGTTTGCAAAATCTAACAACGATTTCATGTATGCACGATAAAGCATCTGTTAAGCGTAGCAGGTGTCGACAGACTACCTGACTTTTCAAAATCCGGTTATTTAGAAAATGCATAGCAAAACCAGTGTTTAGTTTAACTCATTTGATCAGTCTGGTTCATTGAATAAACCTTTCCTTCTCGGACTGAATTTACCTAAGACTTTCAAACCCATTTATTGAGTGATTCATCACTAGCGCGGTTTTTGTATAGATTTTTTAACAGGAAAGTAATGGATTTAAAACTGGAAGTGGGTACATTTATGCGGAATTGACTTCAAAATTTAGGAATTTACGGGAATGACTCGTCATGTTAAATATACTCTATGCTATTCTCAAATGTTTTGTATGATACTCGATCCGTTCTCACTAAGATGACGTACAATGTACTTATTTCACCTCCAGTGCTAAAAATTCTGTTGTAAAGTTTATAACTGACACCAGCGTACATGCTGTAATATAGTACATCTCTGCCGAGAGACCTATCGAGCATGGTCCTAAACGTTTGAAGATATGTATGTACTAAATCCTATATACTGTGAAATCCCACTTGGGACTCTTCCACTTTCTGATG